TCGTCATCGTGCGTCTACGGAAGATCACGTTGCACTCTTCGTAAGAGACCAATAAAGACGATCACCCGACTCGATCGGGAAGGGTTCACCAGGGTTAAAGGATATTTCTGTAACGCTGTTTCGCGGGTTAAGGCCATGGTGCCGTTCCAAGATCGATCTATTTTTGTCATGGTGAATGGTCCGTCCGGCAACAGAGGATAGATTGTCACGGTGAAGAGGAGCTGAATCGCGGGGGAGGGAGGGGGGAAAAGGGGAGCAAACGACAAGTTGTAGGTGTGAGACGCCGATGAATAATGGCTTTCGTTTTTGCATTGGAAACTCTCCAAACGTGCGTGACGCCCACGCGCATCCATGCGGATACGGGGAATTTCTCTTTTTTCCCTCCGCTGCTTCGGTCGTGCTGGAAGGACGAGGCTGGTGTCGATCGAGGAATGCGATTCGAGGAGGAAAGGGAAAAAGAGAGAGATCGGCTGGCTTGGGTTCCCTCGCGTCATTTGAATGGCTCGAGGCAGTTGACGTTCTTCCTTCTGGTGGCAGAGCCGTAAGATGACACGAGGAATGTGCGAGATGTTGAGCACTTTGAATTGATGAAAGCCTCATCTCGTCACTGGACATTTCTCTCATTCTCTATACAAACTTCGCCTCATTTCCATCTTCAAAGAGCATCCAGGATTATTCTATACGTCGTGTGAGCGCACCAGTCTCTTTGCGCATTTCAAGGGAGGAAAGTAAACATTCAGTTGCAAAACGTTGCTCTCCGAGCTTTATGTCGCTCGCGAGAGGAAGAGTCGTGGCAAAATTCCCCTTCGCACCTCAAAGGTTCTGTCTCTCATTTTTCACGTGATAGGCGAAGCCTAACAAGGCCTTATGAGGCTGTCTCGGGGAAAACTGGAAATGGATTCATGGAAATTTTTTTTACGAGGCCTTAAAAAAAAATAGGCGATTTTCTCGTTTGGTTCATTTGATTATACATGCAAAACACATGCAATTTACATTTTCATCTGACGGATCGCCATATAAGATATTGATAGGAAATCTAGCGGATGTCGTAACCATCACGTTTAGGTGCTACCCTGAAAATCGAAGTATGAGAGGAATCGGCAAAACTCTTTTCTGCGCATGATCCGACGCGTCCCAGCCAACACCAACTGAACAGGTAGGCGCCGACAGACGCGCGCTCTTTTGACATCGCGCGGAAAAAAAAAAAGCCGTTACAACCGATTCTTCCTACATTTTCAGCGATCCGCCTAAACGCGGTGCTGGTGACATCCTCTAAGTTTCTTGCTATCTTGTAAGGTGACTCGTCTGCGGCCAAGAAAATTGCATTATTTGCAAATAAACTGAATTTGAAAAATCGCCTCGTTTATTTCTATCGGTTGGCCTTTAAGTAGGATACATATGCAGCTATCATGCAGCATGCCCCATCGAGCTTCAATACGTGCTGTCTTTTAGATTTTATAATCCAAAATGTGCAAAATCGCATTTTTAAGTACATTTTGCCTAATCCCAACGAAAGTGCAAGACGAAATAAGAGCCCATAAACTACAGAGGGTAATAGAAGTTGGCCATTCTAAGCGCAAAATAATTGATTTTGGGAGAAAATTTTGATAATTTATTAAATATAAAAATGTACTTGTTGTGAAGGCGATCTAAAAACCAACAGAAATTCTCCAAGGTGTATGAATTAAAGATATATAATATAATTTTTCCCAGCAACAAATTATTTTCAGGCTACACCACAGAAAAATTTCTCAACCGGCGGCCATTTTTGCTGGGCAGCTGACGAAAAACAAATGGTGCTTTCATGTCATACTGATGATGCCTTGGAGCGTTTTTTTTTCACCAGGAAATTCGAAAGGGGTTTACGCCCTAAGATGGTAAATCTTTCCTTAAAAAAAAAAACTTTAAATTTTACTGGAACAGTAAGGGCCATCCATTATGAGACCATCACGAATGCACTTTCCTTGGTACTCGGCTCCATCTTGCTTTTCGCCGGTTTTTGTACCTTCATCGGCGATAACCTCTCAATTTCTTGGCACGGTGCAACTTGTGTTCCCTCAGATGACGTATCAGTGAATTAGTGAATGAATTATTTCAAAGTCTTGTTCTTCGGAGTCAAACCGTTGACTTATGTCCCGATAAAGCAAGGAACGAGACCGATCCATGGTTGTGGGAGCGATCGCCACCGTTTCATCGCTTGACGCCATGTATCACGGGGGATTTGTCTGGTTTCGGGGAAATGAGAAGACATGGTCACATGCTTTTCAGTCAAGTTTTTAATGCGAGAATAACATCTTTGTCATCGGAAACATGCTGTCATTTGACCTCAAGTTTCCTTAGCAAAAATATGGGAAAAGAAACAACTTTTCCAGAGAGCTACATGTTGTTTTCAAAGATCTGTCATGGAGCGTTGAAGGAAGGAAGTCATCACACTTAATAACATAGAAACACAAACCGCATGAAATCAACCAATTCCGTCGCAAAGTTAACCATCAACTTGACTCCTATCTACATCAAAGAAAAAATGAGATCAGTTGATTTCATGAGGCACAACTGGCCATATCGAACCTTGAAACAGACATCGGTGTATAATTATAATTGCAAAGATGAGAATTTCAAAAGACAACTAGCACAACCGTCAAAACCTGCTGGCTCTTCTTCGAAAAAAAAAATATCGTGTTTAAGGGAAATAATATAAATAATACGCCTCCCTCGCTCTCGCTTTTCTTCTCCATCACAACAGGCTCGGGATCTTATTCAAGGATATGTACACAACAATAATGGGCAATTGAGTGCCTAAGCGTACCAACAAGTGTGATGGAGCAAGAGTCTCAAGAAGTGGTCATTTTGAAGAGGAATAAAGTTGAGGTGGGGATATGAACTATATCACGCACTGAATCTAAGTCATCTCACTGATCTCTTTACCTTGTCTCCTGTATTTCACCACGAACACTGTTCTTTCAGCGGCTACAATGCATTCACTCATTATTAGAGGAGCAGTTGCGGGGCTCATTCCTGTTCAAAGGGAATTGTTTCCTCGAAGGGTAGGGAATCTCTCATCAAAGGACGAATGTTCCATTATATTTTACTCATAATTATCACCCGCCTCATTCTCATCCCTGAAGAGCGCATAGAATCATTGCTGTTGTTAACCCAACACCAAAGTCATAAATCTGCTAATTTCAAGTTTGAGAAAATTCCCCGACACCATAGCTGTGGAGAGATAGTTCACATTACCTTTAAGGGTCAATGACTTCATCTGGGAGTCTCGTGAATTAGATATAGTAATGTTTTCATGATTAAATTTTGGCGCAATTAGCTCAAATTGGCTTCCTTTGCAGATTCAAAACTTTGGAAAATTGACGAGGTGGAAGGAAGGAATACTCTATCGAGCAAAATGTCATTTAATGATTTCAGCGACCATTCCAAGGGGAGATTGCCATCCTGATATTAAGTCTTCCCACGACCGTAATATGAAGGTCAAATTGAGTAGGAGAGTCACTCGGAGTTTTGAGACGCGCAAAGGTCAGTCACCCTCTTCTCTCCACCCGGAGAGATGAGGGAGACGCTCGAAAGAAAATGAAACCCCATAATGCTTCCACGTACAGTCATTTCCCTTAAGCGACGGGAGACAGTCATCAAGGTTGAGTGCCACCTCTATGGCTTTGAACCTAGGCCAAGGACACTTCTGTACCATGATTTTCAAAGATTCACGATGGGCTTAGGTAAGCGAGAGCCAGAATCACCGGCAGAACGTCATTCAGTGCACTTTCCGCTAATAGAATTCCTCTAATTCGCCGAGTACGAGAGGGGTAGAATCAGCCTTGAAGATGACCCTAGATCTGGATTCTCCATCAACATCTCGGCGTAGAGAAAAATCATGAAACAGAAGAGATTTTGATCTGGGTTCAATGGCAAGGTTGAGGCAGTCAACCGTAATGAATGCCTGCTGTTGCTGGAGTTAACGACTGATCCTACAAGGAAGCTTTCCGGGGTTTTATTTTTCTCGGTCGATGTCGGTCGGCGCAAGTCGGTCGACTTCTTAAGCTCAGAAGCTTTATGGTGTCTCAAATCTTTCTGAGTGACCCATGGTCAGGGAGGAAAATGGGCTGGTCTGGAAAGACGAATGAAGACATCTACGCCTCCGTGTGAATGAATGCACCGTAATTTTATGCATCTCATACCCCTTGTGGGGGTGTGCGGTGCTGTCTGAAATGCTAAAAATGCCTGAAAGAATAATTGAAACATGGAATTTATGTTCCTTAGAAAATTGTTTCATTCTCGTTATCGTTCTAGAGTGAAATGCTGAAAGACGCCCAGAAAACGGGCTTTTATCCATTTGTTCTTGGTTGTGAGGCTTCTCTATATTCATATGAAAAGCTCACGCAAACGTCAGGCGCTACAGCAGTCATGAAAGGCACGGGTTGGATTTAATAATCCCCGGTGACTTTGTGACAGGCTCGCCTCAACTGACGAGAATCAGTCAGTGCAAAATATAGGAGACAAAAGAGATTCCTTTCGTTCAAAACTACTACAATTTCCCATGAACATTGAGCAAACATCTTCAGGTATTTCGGTTCCATTCCTGAATGCGAAAGTCACACTGCCTCTTGCCCTTCCCTAAGAAATCCTCAATCTCAATGCGATGTATAATCCAAAAATCGAAAGGATGATACATTTTGCCAAAATAGAATTCGTGGTCCTGGAATGTGTTTAACAGGTGAAAACAAAGGAATGATATCTTTGTATCTGTTTGGAAACGTCGAACACCAGCTCCCCCAATTAATCTATCACAACCTGTAGCATCGGTTAACCGGTCATATCAGGAACACCTCAAAGTCGAAGAGCGCAACACTAACCAACAAGAATACATCATTTCGTGATCACATTTTCGAGACAGTGACATTATGGCACGTGCAGGAAGGGGGATATTGAAGCCGGTACAGCATGAACGGAGGGGGTGACACCGGGACTGAGGAGTTTGATTTACTGGAATCATCTCATTCACGGGTGACATCTCTACCGGGGCTAGAGTGTTGAGAGAGCGGAGATTCGACTGACAAAGCACTGAGTGCCTCTGTCGGAGAATATGGGGGATCTGAGAAGGGTCGAATTCGACTCAACGGAATTTCATCGGGAGATCCTGAACCAGGTTCTAAAGGTTCATACCGGGCATGAGTGCGCATGTGACGAGTGATCATGTCTCTTCGACATGCAGCGTATGGGCATTGAGGGCACCGATAAGGTTTTTCACCGGTGTGCGTACGTTGATGAGTGCTCAAATGATCAGAGCGGGAGAAGACCTGGCCACAAGAATGACAAGTGTAGGGTTTCACACCGGTGTGGAGCCTCATGTGACGTGTGAGCATATCACTCCGCGTGAAAGAACGTTTACAAACATCGCACATGTAAGCCTTGACGCCTGGTTCCGTGGGGCGGCTCTTGTGCCGAGAAGCCATGTGCTTCGCCAGTCGATCGTGTAAGGAGAACATCTGACCACAGATGGGGCACACGTAAGCGACATCAGAGCCTTCTGATGTACTGGTTCGATTCTCTTCCCTCGTGGAAGCACTCTGTTCGAGAGGAAGACGAAGTAAGAGTCGAGGTGAGGAAGGTGCACCGTCAGAGCCCAGGCTTCCTCGCCCTCTCGACGACGACGACGACGATGTCGATGACACCTCTGTCCTTTCACGTCGAACCCTTAGATCCAAAGGGGATTCTTGTGGAGATGGTGAAACGATGGACTCTTCAGCAGATCGTGATCCTGGCTTACGTCTTCCTCTCTCCTCTTCTTCGGCTTCTGCTTCTCCTTCTTCCTCGTCCTCCCCTCTTTCACCCGTCTTTCCTTTCGGCTCTGCCATCCATTTCTGGAGGTCCGAGTCCGACTGGCTTCTCTTTCGGTACAGTCCCGTCAGGTAAGAAGCTGAGATGAGTCGGTCGATCGGTCGAAGGGACTGAGGAGATAAAGGAGAACGGGGAGTGGGAGGTCGGAGAAACGACGTCCTCGATAGTGGCAGTGGTGAATGACTTCCGGGAAGAGGAACGTGACCGGATAATACCTGGCAATGGTGGCAGCTGCACATGGGGAAATGAACCAACGTCGACAACGGCGGGGGTTTAGACGACGTCGGAGACGACGACGAGGACACTGACGAAGAGTCTGCATGGTAACTACTGGTTTCTTTGTACTCACTCACTCGGATATTGTACTTGGGAAGAGGTGGAATCACACTGAGTCTGTCTCGTACACCGGGACCTTCCAGAGCTTCCTCGTCGGGACAGTTATCTTTGAGCCTAAGCGGACTAATACTCGCTTGAGGGGAATCGGAGGATAGGAGTGGGGAATCTGTGGGGCTATGAGGTGATCTTTGGGAAGAGGCGGGGCTGAACACGTCCTCCTCTTCCTCTGATATCGTCCGATAGAGATACCGTTCCTTGTCGAAGCTGTCGAAGCGAAAAACGTCGCCTCGGACGGTGAAAGAAGGACGAGAGGATTTGAAGGAGGGATACGGGGGAGGAGCAGGGGTGTTGGAATGATCAGGGCTAGTCCTCATCATTTCATCCTCAGCCTCTGCCTCCGCTCCTACCCTTTCTGCTTCCGCCACTCCTCTTATCTCCTTTTCTCCACTTTCCAATTTCGCCACCATTTTTCCGTTCTGTAGAAACAAATCCGCTTTGGGATCCGAATCCATCAAAAAGTCAGATCCTTGATCAGTTCCAGGCTTGGCCTTTCCATTGGCCTTGGTGAGTTTATTGAGGACCTGACTCAATCGCTGCCTCTTCCGTAGATGTGGAAGGGGCTTGTCATTGAGCACATGTTCAGCTTCTCCAGTGTACATCCTGGAGCACCAGATACATTCGAAATTGGCGGGCGGAGCTCACCTGCCATCAGCACTGTCTCCACTTCTTTTATAGAAATTTCACGAGGGGGAAGAAGAAGAAAGGGAAGAATGTCGAGTAGTCTATGTGCCACACCTCCCTCAATGTCCTCTCTTATTATTCAAGGCACTCAATTGGAGATCCAATCCTTGGGACCTCACCTCCAGCTCCACTGCATACCTGTGTTCCCAAGGAAAGGGAGAATAACTTCATTAAATGGCTGGAAGAGAGCTTCAGGTTGTCTATAACTCATTCCTATTGATAACCTTAATACAAGTACGTTTTCCCTATGCACAGAATCATGTGGGAATGCATAAACTTATTGACCTGAAGAACTCGGGCCTAGTGCAGGTTTCCATTTGCTTATACATCCTAGCAGCGTAGTTCCCTCTCTTTCATACATCTCAATTCTGCTGCTGCGACTATACCTTAAACTATTTCAAGACAGGAGCAGCAGGTAACATGCTTCGTTGAATCAGGTGTGAAGTTACGCGAATAAGGGCAATTTAGTGATGGCCCAGCACGATAATTTCGACAGAGCGGAGTCTCTTATTTGCCGCATTATCATGGATAAAAGAGATCAATCACATGAGGGTTCATGCCCACGTGGCTTACTGACAGTTGCATGCACACGTGAGTAATTATTCCAAAACCTGTAAACATGTTTTCAAGTATCCGTGATTCATACTTGTTCGTCGTTAGCGAACTTTTTCATTAAATCCTCTCGTTTCTAAGTTTTTTTTTTCCATTGAAGTCACAGAATTAACAGAAGCTGAGAAGTCTCCAATGAAGTCTCCAATGATTTTAAAATTCCTCCTTCCTCTTCGGCATCACTGGGTTTTGGGAGCTCAGGCTTTTAACTTCCCCCAGCTCAGATCTTCACCGAGTATTTCATTCCATCAGACGCAGAGATGCGGGTATCAACGCCCTTCTTAAAAAATTATATCCATTGCTGAGGAGCAGAGAAGCGAAGACAAGGAGAAAGACGCGGTGGGTTCGAGAACCATTAGCATGCGATCTTATCACAATTAAAAGGAAGCTAGGAAGCGTGGGAGAAGGGCAGAGGTCGGAACGGAGCTGGCGGCAAGACGTGCTTTGCCTACGTAATTCCTTGAAAAGATTGCCTAGGCCTATGCCTTAGCCTTAGCCCTGAGGACTAGGGACGGACTACAGGAGCCTGATAGCTGCTACTCGCTATCCAGCCCCCCCGGGGCTCCTTCTCTCTCTCTCTCTCTCCCTCTCTCACAGATAATATTCTTCAAGCCTCCCTCAGCCGCCGATATTTCCTCTCTCTCACTATCTCTCCTGCAAAACTTCCACTCACTCGCACCCCCCACTGCCGGTGATATCATTTGATATCATTAGAGGGTCATAATTGCGTCATTCTCTGTCCGTGATAAGGAGAGTGCCTTCTGGCAGTCTTTCCCACTTTCTGCTCACCTGAATGGTTGGGGGCATAAATTCCGTCATTACCTGGAGTCGTACCGGAACCTTCGGTACATTCGTATTGAACGGAGTCAGTACGAGCAAGAAACCGGTCGACAAGAGACAAAGTTTGAAAGGAGGTCCAAAAATTAGTTGGAAAAAATACTGAAGTGAATCATATGAAAAAGACGATAGGTCTATCTGTGAGCGAGAGGAATACGTGTTTCGTTCATGTGTCTGAATCCATGATGGATCAGGTGGTCCATGGCAGCTGCAGAGGTTCAGCTTCGAACAAGAGGAGAGAAAAGAAAGATAGGGAAACCTGATTTGGGATACGTGGGTGGGCCCTGGAGGAACAAAGAACACGATGAGAAGCGCCTATTCTACTCCATGCCGCTTGTGGGGTTTTAGGCTTGGCTTTTCCCCTATAAATAAATGGCTCTTCTTCACCTAAGACACACGTGAATTTACAGCTTACGCCTATCCCAAAAAGGGGTTCCTCTAATGATGACCACCTAGTGGATTTGGTCAACGGAATAGAGGAACTGTCCCATCCTGCACGTCCTTACTCCGTTTCATCCGTTTCCGATATTTCTCCTTCGCAATTAACTGCATAATATTCATAATAATCAGGATACGGGTATAACCAGAGGTAGCGAGGAAAAAAAGATACCATGCGGAAGGGGGCACTCCCTGGCCTCTAAACAATGGCGCTTTTTTAAAATATCAGATCGATAGCAATTCATCAAACTGGGCAGCAGGAAACATGACAAAAGCGGGAGGGTTAGAATAGTGGGTGTCGTATGAGAGGGAAGCATATGGGGAAACAATGGAGGAAAAGCCCCGGATGGAAAGGGGAGGCGGTGGTCCACAATCAGAGTCACTCGGATTATCGCATTCTGTCACTACTGTTTCTTTCGTGCTGCTGCCAACCAAATCCTTTTCCTTCCAACAGCAATGCAAGGACAGTGGTTAAAGGAGAAGGGTTTACTCGGGATATATAGATTTGGGAAGGTAGGTAGTACAAGTAGTACGAGCGCGCACCACCCAATCATTGGCATCACCCGTTCCACTGGGTTGAAGCTTTGTCAATAACACTGCCGCATGCAAGACACGCCCTCGCACGCGTTTCCACACCCTCGACATTCCTCGTTCCCATTCCCCTCGTCGCTGTTTCATTCACTGTCATAGAAAGGGAAAACTGACCCAACATTATTCCAATACTCCCCTACGCGCGCGAGCGGGAAAATATGATTTTATCTTCTTTTTCTCTCTCATTATTACACGATTCTAAAATAAAAGACCGTTCCTAGGAGCTTCTTGGGTAGAGGTAGCTCATTCCCTTCTCGTTTATTAATCAACATTTCTTGCCGTGATCGCAATTAACTTCGTATAACACCTACAACACATATCGACTTTTGCAGGAGTTTCAAACATAGACGGAAATGAAAGGGTTTGTACGCCCGTTGTTACTCCACCACCAGGTTTTCCCCTTGGATTGTGATTTATGGTTTATTCTTCAGCCTAGTTGGTGTACTTCATCATAGCCTTTTCATGCACACTTCTTGATCTAGTTGGTTGTATAAAAGTGGCGAATTTGCAAGGGAGCACTTAATGAGAACATAACATTAATGCACGGAATATTTTTTGCATCGGATGGGCAAGAGTGTGTCTACGTATGCAAGAATGGAGGGGTGTGCGAGATATTGATGGCAGGGCGGGGGAGGAAGGGGAGGAGGGTTTGGCCTTGCTTGGCCCAGACCCGGAATGGCACGGGAGGGGGGATGCGATGAGGATGGGATGAGGGTTGGAGAATTCAAGGCCGATTGATCGCCACCGCCCTCCTCTCCCCTCTCTTCTTTCCTTCTCTCTAGCATTCCCTTCCCTTCTTCCTGTTTCCTCCTTCTCAATCCACAGCCCTTCCGCCCCCGTAATCGATACAAAGAATGGATTATTCCGTGCAACGCTCGTGTTCCCTCGTTCCCCAATTATCTTACTTCAGAGTCTTCCCTCACACGAGCTCCCCTTTGTTCGAGGACCAGATAGAAATTATAATAAAAGAAAACAGCAAAACTCTGATGAAAGATTTAAACAAGCCGTGATCGGAGAAACAGCATTCAATGTCACAATCTAAAGTGGTTCTTGAACTTCGAATCGTAGGCTACTGCTGTGGTTTCCATTAGTATAGATTCATATTATAAGGAACTGTTGTCTTCAAAACACCTTTACTGAGAGACAAGTCCTCTCCGATAAAAATCCCCCCAACATAATTCAAGAACTTCCAGAGATCTGGAAGAACATGGCTGCAGATCTTCCTCTTGTTCTGGCCGAACCGTAACAGACCAATCTACAAAAAAATCTACCGAATCTACTGGTTACCGATTTCGATATGTGAGGCATCGTTGGACTCGTTTCTCTGGCTCTGGCGATGGACCTTTTCGAGGACTTGAGTAAGTACTAAAGCACAAAAAATTATTACTATTCAGAACATACTGCCCAGCCTAAAGGGAGAAATTACCATTGTAATCGACTAAGGGATATCGAAGGAATTGCTTGGGGGAGACCGCGTGCTTATTTTGATAGTTTTAGGCAATGCATTAGTACAGGAAATTCAGAACCGAAAGAGTTCGCTATAGCAAAGGTTTCTTACCCTATTTTTGCAAGCAAGGTAACTGCAGACTTCTCATGCCACGGCAGTGTGAGGTCTCACATACCCAGCTTCACTATTGCCATTACTAAATACTTTCTAAGGAGTACTAAACCGATCTGAACGTGTCAAGTAGGTGTGAACTCCTCCAAGAACTGTTATAAGTTTTCGTATGGAACAGTGACGTCTCTTATGACAGGCCGGCGTGATATGCAATATGCAGAACAAATTACTAAATTGCCAAAATCCTTACGCAAAAACAGGGCAAGAACCGTATGAGATGACGCTCATTAGAGCTTGGAAGCAAGGCTTCGGGCAGTGAGCATCGCCCATGAGCAAAGAATAAATCCAAAGAACTCAAGGATAAATTAACTCAATATTTTAAATTGTTGGAAAGGTGGCTTCGCAAGAAGCATTTTCAAAGTTAGATCGTGGAATTCCTGAGAAGCGATTCCTACTCGAATCTCACTTCATCCTCGTTTGACAATAACATATGCAAGGTTCTCTTCAATGCATTTAGGACTCCCCTCTATGTTATACATGTTTATGACCATGAGACCAAATCACAATCTGACTGCGAAGACGATACCTTCAAATGAGACTAGGAAGGCAATCACATTGAGACGCTATATGCTTGTTTCTAGTCATTGCATGCATACGCTGAGCAGTTCATGAGGAGAAAGAGGCTCGAGTAAGAGATGCTTCTGCGGGATACCACAGATTGCTTTTGAATGCTTCATGCAAAGGCACCTTTTCCACAGTTCAGTGAATTCTGAGAATTTACCCGCTCATCAGCGGGTAAATTCTCAGACTTATAGGTCTTCATAGGCGATTCTTGCGCTAGGAAATCTTGCCTGGTTTTATAGACACGGCACCCCAAACATCCTT